TTCTAACACCATTACTCATTTAAAAGTCCTATACATCATGAAGCCCACATCACCTCCGCCTCAGGTGACTCATATTCCATCCAACTCCCTTCTCGTCTGTCTGGGGCGGGTGTGCACGGCCCTGCAAGAGCCCCTGCCCCTCACCACAGCAGGTCTCCGGAGCCGGGGGCCTGCCACCCACACCACTGCTGCCTCACCTCCTGCTCCAGGGCCTGGAGGTCAGCCAGGGCCACCTCTGTGCTCAGGGCCTGGGCCTCCTCCAGATCCTGCTCCCAGTCCCCTACCTCAATTAGTGGAGATATTAGGGAAGCCTGATCCATTCCGAAGGCACCATTCAATCAGAGAACTCCCCAGATGAAAATAGTCCCCCAAGTGACATGCCACCAGGATATCAGGCTGACACTGGTCCCAGGCTGGGCCTACAGCACCTTAGGACAGAGTCATCCAAGGAAACTCACTGTAAATGGCTCCAAACACAAGCCAGGTCTCAGCACCTGGCCCCAACCACTGATGTTCAGGAGCCCACCTCTGACAAAGACACAATCTTTTCCTTTACACACAGCCCTTGGCCTTGCCCCTGACTGGGAAGATAAGTTTCTGCCAGGACATCTGATATTTTATGTTGGCTTTTTTGAGTTTAGGCTGTTCTTCCTGTCCCATTTCCTGGTCTTTGATCATTATGAGTTTTAAAGGGGGAGAGGCTTATGGGACTAGTTCTACCCTCTTTGGCTGTTGGGGTACCACCTGGGAACTAGGGACATGGCCAGGACCAAGGCAGCCAGGAGATGAGATATGTGTCTTCTCTCCGTACACTCCTGCACCATGTGGGTTGAAGATTCTCAAGGACACTTTTTAAAAAATATATATATTTTATTGGTTTTTTACAGAGAGGAAGGGAGAGGGATAGAGAGCTAGAAACATCGATGAGAGAGTCATCGATCAGCTGCCTCCTGCACACTCCCCACTGGGGATGTGACCGCAACCAATGTACATGCCCTTGACCGGAATCGAACCTGGGACCCCTCAGTCCACAGGCCGACGCCCTATCCACTGAGCCAAACCGGTTTCGGCTCAGGGACACTTTGATAATGGGGTGAATGATGACTGGTATGAGGCATTTTTCTACCAGGTAGCAGCCACCGACAGTTGAAGACTTGGGGAGGTTGAGGAACAAAACAACTTGGGGTTGACTGGATGCTCCATGTGCTTGTGGGTAGGGCCCTGGCCGTTGGGGAGCAGGGTGTGGCAGCTGTCCTCTGCTGTGTGGAGGGTCAGCTGCAGTGCTGGTACGAGGGCTCTACCTGCGGGCTGGCTATTGCTATTTTCTGACAAGGGAGTCTGTGACAGAGACCCTGGCTTTAGGATCTGCAGGTAGATAGCAGTCTATGGCTTCTGATGGGTGGTCCCAGGCTACCCTTAGCTGAATGGAGGCTTGTCGGCAAATAGCTTAGATGGTGCCCCAGAGACTCTCTTTGGAAGACTATATAACCTAGGTTGTCTTGTTTTCAGATTTCAGGAGTTTACAAATAAAATGATTTTTATTTTTATTTTACATTTTTACTGATTTCAGAGAGGAAGGGAGATTGAAATATCAATGATGAGAATCATTGATCAGCTGCCTCCTGCACACCCCCTACAGGGAATGGAGCCCAAAACCTGGGCATGTGCCCTTTACTGGAATTGAACCTGGAACCCTTCAGTCTGCAGGCCATCACTCTATCCACCGAGCCAAATTGGCCAGGACAAATGCTTTGTATCGGGTCTAGTAATAAATAATGTCGTTTTTAAACATTCGTTTAAAATCTTGCTTGGCGTTGACTTGTATTGACATAACCTTCAAACACGTGGTATCTACAGAACATGTGAAGTGCAATTAACAAGTTTTGCTTGAAAAAGTTTGTGTTTGGTTTGGTTTTTGTTGCAAAACTAGGGCTAAGAAGATGGCGGATGAAGAGCATATTCGGCACTGCATGCTTTACGAGTTCCAATTAGGAAGAAAAGCAAGTGAGGCTGCAAAAAACATCTGTAGTGCTCTTGGTCAAGATGCAGTTAGCGCCAGAAAATGCCAGCGTTGGTTTGAGAAATTTCGCGAGGGAAATTTTTCGTTAGATGACAAGAGTGGTCGAGGCCGTGTGTCCAATTTTGATCAAGAAGCTCTTCAAGCTCTTTTGGTGCAAAATCCTCAAATTACCCAACAAGAGCTTGCGACAACTTTAAATTGTTCACAAAAAACAATTTCCAATCAATTGTGTGCACTTGGCAAAGTCCAAAAGTTTGGAAAATGGGTTCCTCATGAGTTGACCGACAACAACCGTAATCAAAGAGTCACAATTTGCAGTTCGCTCCTCTCTCGTCAAAACCGTTAGCCGTTTTTAGAGCAAATTGTTACCGGAGATGAAGAATGGGTAAAGTATGTTAATTTGAAAAGGCAGCCTCAATGGTTGGACAAAAATGAGGCTCCGCAGCCCACGCCAAAACCTGACTTGCATGCGAAAAAAGTGATGTTGTGTGTTTGGTGGAATTTTAAAGGAATTCTTCATTATGAACTTTTACCATCTAACCAAACCATTACAAGTGCAGTGTATAGTGCCCAATTGGAAAGGTTAGCCCAAGCTTTAAGAGAAAAAGAACCCACGCTGATTAATCGGAAGGGCGTAATTCTTCACCACAATAACGCACGACCGCATACTGCAAGAATCACTGCTGAAAAACTGCGCCAGTTGGAATGGGAAGTTCTCCCTCAACCGGCATATTCTCCTGGTATTGCCCCTTCCGATTACCATTTGTTTCGTTCTTTGCAAAACTTTCTTCTTGGAAAAAAATTTAATAATGAAGAATGCCTCAAAAATGCATTGACCGAATTTTTTGCATCAAAATCACAAGAATTTCACAACAGAGGGATTAAAATGCTTCCTGAGTGTTGGGCACAAGTAGTAGAAAACAACGGCAACTATATTGTTGATTAAATTTTGTTGTATTGTTTAAATAAATTCGATTTAAAAAAGTATTAGAAAACGACATTAATTGTTACTAGACCTAATATTTTAAATGGCCAATAAAATAGATCCTGAAGTTATTTGATCATACTTTCCCAATCATATCCTATAACTTGAGCATTCAGGCAAACATCATGTCTTCTTTCTAGTTTCACAGAACTGGCTATTTTTTAAATTAAATAAGCATTATTTGACATTGTGTGAATTTAAGGTGAACAGATATTGATTTGACCCACTTATATGACAGTACGACTGCCACTGTGGTGTAGAGAACACTTCTGATAGTAGGTGTTTGGCTGGAGCTCAGGAGGCCCAGGCTGGGCTCCAGGAACTCTGCAGAGCTGGCTGGGGACAGGCGATCCACAGCATACGATGGGAAATGACACAGCTTCCAGAAAGGTTGGGCACAGAGGAGAGAATAGGCCTGCGGGCAGATGGAAGACGTGGGACCAAGTGGAGGACAGGAGCAGGTTGAGGCATTGCTCCCAGAGTCCACTGAGAAGCAATATGGGGTGTGGCCGGCCTGGGGTCTCCGGGAGGCAGGGTGGCTCTGGGTGTGGGAGAGGCACTTCTTACAGAGAGGGGACCTGGGCTTCTCCCACCCATGCCCTCAGCGTGACCCTGGGGTCCACAGTTGACATTTGGCATTAAAAGTGAATAAATAGCATACATCTGTTGCACAAATACTGATATACTACCTTAAACATCTCCTATTCTATGGATACAACTAAAAAAGTTAGTTAACCCTATAATAACATATCTTCAAGAGGTCAAAATGAGAGTTTAATTTCTTGTGGAATAATAAATATTACGAGATTAAGTGTGAGCAGCAGAGATGTAAATGAACATGGCATCTTTCTGGTTTGAGCCACCTCCATCCCAGGAGGTGACCACATTCCACCCCACTCCTTCTATGCCATCCTGGGGTAGGTGTGCATCACCCCTGCTCATTTAGGCTTGTTGCCTGGAAGGCAAAAAAAGCTTCCAGGAGCCCGTGTACCTGCCCATTCAAATTCTCCAGGGCATTGCCCAGTCGGCACGGCTCAGTGGTTAAGTGTCAACCTATAAACTAGGAGGTCACTGTTCAATTCCCGGTCAGGGCACATGCCCAGTTTGTGGGCTTGATCCCCAATGTGGAGTGTGCAGGAGGCAGCTGATCAATGATTCTCTCTCATCAGTGATGTTTCTATCTCTCTCTCTCCTTTTTTCCCTTCCTCTCTGAAATCAATAAAAATATACTTAAAAAGGAAAATAAGCTGAAACCGGTTTGGCTCAGTGGATAGAGTAGGGGTGTCGAACTCAATCAGAGAAGGGGCCAAAATCTAAAATCCAGCCTAAATCGCGGGCCGAATGGTTTACTGAACAGTCATAAACTGTCATTGTGATGGAAACGCAGCGGAGTGCAGTGATGACAGCGCGGTGCGGGCCACATTGCAAGGTCTGGCGGGACGGATTTGGCCCGCGGGCCTTGTGTTTGACACATGTGGGATAGAGCGTCGGCCTGCGGACTGAAAGGTCCCGGGTTCGATTCCGGTCAAGGGCATGTACCTTGGTTGCGGGCACATCCCCAGTGGGGGGTATGCAAGAGGCAGCTGGTCGATGATTCTCTCATCGATGTTTCTAACTCTCTGTCCCTCTCTCTACCTCTCTGTAAGAAGTCAATAAAATATATTTAAAAAAAAAAAAAAAGGAAAATAAGTTCTCCAGAGCATGGAGCTCAGCCTGCTGCCTACACCACTGCTGGGCCTGCTGTTGTAATGTCTCCATCTCCCACTCCAGGGCGTAATGCTTGTCCCTAGCCTGGAGGAGCTCAGCAGGGACCCCGCTGTGCTCAGGGCCTGGGCCTCCTCTGGATCTTGCTCCCAGACTTCTGCCTCATCTATGGTATGTCCAGGGAGGCCTGGTTCTTAGCAAAGGCCCCACCAAATTGTAGAATTCACCAGAACCCCCCCTCCGTGGGATGATGCTCCGACAAACTGAGCCACACTGGCCAGGACTAGTCCAGGGGTACAGGATGATGCTGAGTCACCTGGCTAGGGCCAAATTGATCTTTAAAGTGCAAGGATTTCAGTAGAAGAGTGATGAAGCAGAGCCGAGCACATACACAGCTTTTGGAGGATGGATTTGGACATCTACCCATGGGGGAAGGGTGTATCTCCACCTTCTAATGCCTCCTCTCTTCTCCAGCTGTAGTCTGTTTGTGGACTGAATGAATGACCCTGAGTAAATCCCAGCCTTCTCAGTTCTGTCTTTCCTCTGGGCCTGGGAGCTCAGTACCTACAGCCACAATCTTTCAAGAATGCTGCCTCAGGTCTGGGTCATCTGGAAACTTCTCAACCCCCACCCCAAGCACCTTGGAGACTGGGTGCATCCTGTTTTGTGAGCCTACTACATTCACCTGCCTGCCCCCACCTGTCAGACTCCTGGCAGGGAGAGGAAGGTGTTGATCTGGAGTTTTCAGGACCCAGAGAAGCACTGCCAGTACCCCACACCAGTAGTCTGGCCATGTAATGGCCTGCGGCTCTTGTCTGCACTGCAGATCCAACTTAGGGCCAGGGCTCTGAACTACCGCTAAAAATATGAAACTGGACCTACACTGCACACTGGAAACAGTTGTTTAGGAGGGAAAATGGAGAATCCCCCAACCCCCTCCGCCTACACATATGTAAAACTATGTAAATGAGGTTAAGAAAATAGTGTTAGCCACCCTCCACACTCTTTGCCAACAATATTACCTTCTTTTTTTAAAATATATATATTTTGCCGAAACCGGTTTGGCACAGTGGATAGAGCGTCGGCCTGCAGACTGAAAGGTCCCAGGTTCGATTTCGGTCAAGGGCATGTACCTTGGTTGCGAGCACATCCCAGTAAGGGGTGTGCAAGAGGCAGCTGATCAATGATTCTCTCATGGATGTTCCTAACTCTCTGTAAAAAATCAATTAAAAAACTGATTTTTTAACCTCTGTAAAAAATCAGTTTTTTGATTTTTTCCTCTCTGTAAAAAATCAATTAAAAAATACAAAAAAATAAAATAAAATAAATATATTTTATTGATTTTTTTTTTTTACAGAGAGGAAGGGAGAGGGATAGAGAGCTAGAAACACTGATGAGAGAGAAACATCAACCAGCTGCCTCCTGTACTTCTCCTCCCCCACAGGGGATGTGCCCGCAACCAATGTAAGTGCCCTTGACCAGAATCAAAACTGGGACCCTTCAGTCTGCAGATCGACGCTCTATCCACTGAGCCAAACCGGTTTCAGCAACAACATTACCTTCTTATTTAGAAAACAGTCTCTATATAATCAGGCCATTCCTGAAAAAATCGCGACTATCCCATGGGTAGTTTGAAGCTAGTGGTTGAAGTTTAGTTTTTTTAAATTTATTTATTTTTAAGTATATATTTTATTGATTTTGTACAGAGAGGAAGGGAGAGAGATAGAGAGTTAGAAACATTGATGAGAGAGAGTCATCGATCAGCTGCCTCTTGCACACCCCCTACTGGGGATATGCCTGCAACCAAGGTACATGCCCTTGACCGGAATCGAACCTGGGACCTTTCATCCCCAAGCAGACGCTCTATCCATTGAGCCAAACCGGTTTTGGCTAGTGGTTGAAGTTTAGAAATAAATTGTAACTCCTACCAATCGATGGGCTTTAATTTTTTATGGCACTTAACTGGAAGCTCCATTCTTGTGTTCATAGGCTAGTATCTCCATCGAAGACTTAAAATCTGATACCTTTGCTGACACCGGTTTGGCTCAGTGGATAGAGCGTGGGCCTGCCAACCGAAAGGTCCTGGTCAAGGAGGGCATGTACCTTCCTTAAGGACACATCCCCATTGGGGGGTGTGCAAGAGGCAGCTGATCCATGTCTCTCTCTCATCAATGTCTCTCTCTCATCGATGTTTCTAACTATCTCTCTCTCTTCCTCTCTGTAAGAAATCAATAAAATATATTAAAAATAAAAAAAATAAAATCTGATACTTTTATGTTTTTATGTGTCTCAAAAGGTAGGGTCGTGGGGGAGGGGTACAGAATCCTTTACACCTGAGGGCCTCTCCGAGTAAATTGAGGGAGTAACAATTGCCCACCAGCTCCTGCACACGCTCAGAGCATGGGAAAGGAGGGGAAATTAAAAAGGGAAACTGCCAGGACTTAAGATGTCTGACCACGGCCAACCCGAGCTCCCGGGCAGGGCCTACCCGCTTCCAAAATGTCCCCGCGCAGCGCTGACGTCACCCCACGGGCTTCACCAGCGAGAGCTCGGGCTCCAATCAGGGCGCGCTCCCTCTGCCCCGGCCCGGCCCCGGACCTGCGTCACTTCCGGTGGTGCAGCAGCCATTTTCTCAGTCGCCAGCGGATCCCGCGCGCCGGAGAAGAGCAGTTCCCCCTGGTTACCAACGCGTTAGTGCTCCCTCCTCCGCGCTGCGGGCGCGGCCAAGGGGCGCTCCCCGCAGACACAGCCGCTCCTCCCCGCAGTGTCCGCGCCGCGGTGACCTCCGCCCGGAGCCAGAGCCGCTGTCTCCCTCCCTCGCCCCCTGACAGGCGCCCTGCTCCGGGGGCCCGGGCCGGCGATGTCAAGCGAGGAGAGCTACCGGGCCATCCTGCGCTACCTGACGAACGAGAGCGAGCCGTACGCGCCGGGCACGGAGGGCAATGTCAAGCGCAAGATCCGCAAGGCGGCCGCCTGCTACGTGGTGCGCGACGGGACGCTGTACTACCAGCGGCGGCAGCGGCACCGCAAGACCTTCGCGGAGCTGGAGGTGGTGCTGCAGCCCGAGCGGCGCTGGGGGCTCATCGAGGCGGCGCACCTGGGCCCGGGCGGCACCCACCACACCCAGCATCAGACCTGGCACGACCTGTCCAAGACGTACTGGTGGCGAGGTAGGATGTCGCCCGCGGCGGCGGCGGCGCGAGGGCGGGCGGGCGGCGTGGGTCCAGGCCGGGCCCGGGCCTGCGTGCAGCACTGCGCGCCCCTCGCCCGGCTCCCCGCACGCCCCCCGCCGGCTCAGCCCACGCGCTGGCGCCGGAGCCGGAGCGGCTGCCAGGCGGAGCCCAGAGGGTGAGGGACGGGAAGGGAGCCGCACTTCCCACAGGAAGGAGGCCTGGAAGCTGGGGGCGGGCACTGGCCCGGGGTGGGGCGAGGGGCTTCCTCGGGGCGGGCGGGGGCGGGGCCGCGGGCGGGGCGGCGCCTCCGGCTTCCCCCGGGGGAGGTCCTGGCCCTGGCGCCTGGCGGCGGTTGCCGGGGCTGCGCGCTACGCCTTTAAGAAGCCGGGCTGCACGGAGGGGGCTGGGGAGGCTCCGCTCACCGCCCCGCTCTCTTCCGGCGCGTCCCCCCCACCCTAGGGTTTGAGCCCCGGGTTTGGGGTTCTCAGCACCCTCTTCCTCGTATTCCTCAAACCGGGGTGCTGCGTTGGAAGGGGGGCGAAATGTAATTGTGTGCAGAAGTGATTCAGAGACATTGGAACTTTCTTTTTTTTTTTTAAGTATATCTCTTCTTTTTTCTTTTTCTTTTTTTTTAAATATATTTTATTGATTTTGTACAGAGAGGAAGAGAGAGAGGGATAGAGAGTTAGAAACATCGATGAGAGAGGGTCATCGATCAGCTGCCTCTTGCACACCCCCACTGGGGATATGCCCGCAACCAAGGCACATGCCCTTGACCAGAATCGAGCCCGGGACCCTTCAGTCCCCAAGCCGACGCTCTATCCATTGAGCCAAACCGGTTTCGGCGGAACTTTTTTTTTTTTTTTTTTTAATTTTTTATTATTGATTATGGTCCCACATAATTGCCCTCATCCCCCCATTCCCATTCCAAACCCCTCCCTACATATGCCCCCACCCCCTGTAGTCCATGGACACTGGCTAGGCCCATATGCATGCACACAAGTGCTTTGGTTGATCTCTTCCCCTTACCCCCACCCTCAGAGGGAAAGTGTGGAACTTTCGTTTTTTTAGGGCAAGAATTTAATGTAAAGAATAGCGTGTTCTCCTAGTTTGAATGTTTTTTATGTTCTTCCCTTTAATACTGTGAGAAGCGCTTTGGAGCTTTTGCGAGGCACTATGGATGCCTTGAAAAAATGCGGTTACTATGATTGTTGGCAGTCAGAGGTACAATGTCAAAGGGTTTGGACGCCTTGGGGACCCGTGTAGGAAGGAGTCCCCGGACGGGCGGGGTGGGCATCGATCCTGCTCTCACGGTGGGAGGCTGGGAGCTGCCGGCGGGAGCAGATGTTGCTCTTTGTAGGAAGGTCTGCAGAGCTGCAGTTCTGCGCCGGACGGTGTTGCCTCCAGGGACGATGTCTGGAGACAGTTGTGGTGGTTGTTTCTGGGGTTGTATTGGCATCCAGTTGCATAGAGGTCGGGGCTGCTGGGCCTTCACAGTGCACAGAACAGGACGCCCCCTTCCCTCCCGCCCCCCCAAGAACCATCTGGCCCCAAATGTCAACACTGCAGAGGTTGAGAAACCCTGCTCTGGGGTAAGAAACTGTTCCTCAAGTTGTTTTATTAGAGGACTACCCGCCAAGATCATTCATTTTACTTTGTTCCAAGTCACTACTAACTAAAGAACCCTTTCATGGTAATTTGGTGTTGTATGTGGACTGTTTTTGTTGGTACCAGAGAGGTTGACCAGTGAGCATTACTTAAACTCGTGTGTCGTAGTTACTGTGTCAGACACTGTCCAAAGTGCTTATAAATAGTAACATTTGTTATTATTATTTTTATAAATAGTAACATTTAAACACAGGCCTGAGAGATTGGGGACTTGGCCATAGTCACAAAGCTACCCTGTTTCCCCGAAAATAAGACAGTGCATTATATTAATTTTTGCTCCCAAAGATGCCTAGGTCTTATTTTCAGAGGATGTCTTATTTTTCCATGAAGAAGAATAAGGTGCACATTTATTGTTAAATGAAAATAAAGGAAATTTATTACCTGTATACGGTACGGTAGTACGGTAGTTGTAAACACAAACCAAACAAACTGTGAATCCTACAGTATCAAGAATTTACTCATTTATTCAGCGACAATCATGTCATCATCTTCTGGAACATCGTCATAACAATCCAATTTCTGAATTTCTTGTGACTCCATTTCTTTCAGAATCAGTGGACCAAATCTCTCATGTTTAGCCTAGGGGGGGGGGCCTTATTTTCAGGGGAATGCCTTATATTTCACTCAGAAGGAAACCTGTAAGTAGATCTTATTTTCAGAGGATGTCTTATTTTCGGGGAAACACGGTAGATGTGACTTTGGACAAGTTACTTGCCTCTTAGGACTTCATTCCTCCAGTCTGTAGAATGAGAATTAATTGGTCCTAATTTATAAGGATGATGTGTGTGTGTGTGTGTGTGTGTGTGTACAGTAAATGCTCATTTAATGTCCTTAATACGATAGGTTGTGACTTAAAGCAAAACGATGTATAACAAAACCAATTTTTAAAAAAATACATTTTATTGATATTTTACAGAGAGGAAGAGAGAGGGATAGAGAGCTAGAAACATCGATGAAAGAGAATCATCGATCAGCTGCCTCCTGCACACCCCCCACAGGGGATGTGCCCACAACCAAGGTACATGACCTTGACCGGAATTGAACCTGGGACCTTCCAGTCCGCAAGCCGACGCTCTGTCCTCTGAGCCAAACCTGTTTCGGCACCAATTTTACCATAGGCTAATTGATATAAAAAGAGTTAAGTTCCTATTTAACTCTTCATTTCATCATTGTTGTAGCAAACTAACATTGAACAAAACCATGTCATTCAAGGTAAAGACCTACTACCGGTATATATAAAACATGTTCCACCCAGCTGGAGTGGCTCAGTGGTTGAGCATAGACCTATGAACCAGGAGGTTAGGGTTTGATTCCTGGTCAGGGCACATGCCCAGGTTGCAGGCTCGATCCCCAGGGTGGGGCGTGCCAGAGGATGATTCTCTCTCATTCTTGATGTTCTCTCTCTCTCTCCCCCCCTCTCCCTTCCTCTCTGAAGTCAATAAACAAAAATTAAAAAAAAATTAATTTAATTTTAAAAAGTGTTCCTCCCTGCTCCCTACCCCACCCCAACATGCTGGGCTGGAAGTTGAAATTCAAAGTAGAGTTTTGAGAGTGCCTTTTGTACATTCAACTTTTGTTACTTGTAAATGCTGTTGTTTCAGATAAACTTAAAATCTCGAGGGGCTAGGAAAGGGAAGGACATCTGTAATAGTGTCAACAATAAAAAAAAAAGAAAACCTAGAATGTTATAGCTTTCAAAAAACATGAGATTTCTTTGTAATATGATTACAAAGTTTGTTTGTAGTCCTGTTCAGATTGCAGATTGGCCCTGTCTTTTTTCATCTACAGTTTAAGCTAAAGGACAGCATCCATCAG